CACCTTTCCTAATTTTAAACCATTCAGTGTTCCCATGTTCTGTTTGAACAACTGCCTCTTGGTCCAGGTACAGATTCCTCATGAGCACAATTAAAAGTGTTCTGGAATACTCATATTCATAGTTCGCAGTGTTGTCCATAGCTTGTCATGATCCACACAATCGAAAGCCTTTGCTTAGTCAGTAAAGCACAGGAAAACATTTTTCTGATATTCTCTGCTTTCAGCCAAGATCCATCAGACATCAACAATGGTATCCCTCGTTCCAAGGCCTTTTCTGAATCCGGCTTGAACCTCTGAAAGTTCTATGTCAATGTATGCTTGTAGGCATTTCTCTATTACCTTTAGTAAAACTTTACTCGCATGAGATATCAAAGAGATTGTCCGATGACTTCCACATTCTGTTGGGTTACCTCTCTTTAGAATGGGTACAAATACGGATCTCTTCCAATCAGTTGGCCAGATAATTGTCTTCCAAATTTCTTGGCAGAGATAAATGAGTGCCTCCTGTTGCCGCCTCACTTTCTTGAAAGATTTAAGTTTTTATCCCATCAATTCTTGGTGCCATGTTCTTTGCCAATTCCCTCAAGTCACCTTGGACTGTCTCCTTCAGTATCATTGGCTTTTGATCATATGCTACCTCTTGAAATGGCTGAACACTAACCATTTCCCTTTGGTATAGTGACTCTGTATATTCCTTCCATCTTCTCTTGATGCTTTCTGCATCATTCAGTAATTTGCCCAGAGAATCTTTCAATAACAAAAGTTGAGGCTCGAATTTTTTCCTTTAGTTCCCCCAGCTTGAGAAATGCTGAGCATGTTCTTCCTTTTTGGTTTTCTGATTCCAGATCTTTGCACATTTTGTTGTAGTATTTGACTTTATCTTCTCGAGCTGATCTTTGAAATTTTCTGTTCAGCTGTTGTACCTCCTCATTTCTTCCATTTGCTTTAGCATCTCTACGCTGGAGAGCAAGTTTCAGTATCTCTTCTGACATCCATTTTGACCTTTTCCTTTCTTGTTTTCTTAGTGACTTTTTTTTTTTTTTTAATTAAATGTTTTTATTTTGGATTGAGTGAAAGTTTACGGGGCACATCATCAGCTTCACATTCAACCTTTCATATAGCTTGTTTCATTACATTGATTATTATCCCCTCCATATATCTTCAGTGAACAGTGTTTCTCTCTATCCTTTTTAGCTTTTTTTTTTTGGATGGGGGGGACTTGCCTTTTTGGAATTTACAGTCTCGGCTTTTAGGGAAGGTTTTTACATTTGTCTGTGGATATCCAGGGCTCATGTATGAGATTACTAACAAGCATT